TGCACCTATCACTGCTCGGTTACTGTAAGTCTAATAAAGACCAGCCCTGTGTCTAGAGGAAGTTACTCTCGCGGGGCTGCGCAGGTGGGTGACGGACCAGACTGCAAGGGCTGCTGTGAAGGTCGGAGGCCGTCTCTAGCAGGGTCCCACGGGGCTCGGGCCTGGGGCTGCTGCTCCTCCGTGTTTTCATTCATGACGTGGATGATGGTGCAGAGGATGCTTAGAAAATCTGCCGCTGACACCAGGCTGGGTGGGGCTGCAAGCACGTTGGAGGGCAGGATTTGAATTCACAATAACCTTCCACGCGCTGAAATTCAATGAAGACAAGTGCAAAGTACTTCCCTGGGGAAGGAAAACTCTAGTGCGCAGCTGCACCCGGGGAGAAGTGGCCAGGTGAGAGCACGGCCGGAGAGGAGCCGGGGCTCAGGGTGAACCACGCACCGAGTGAGCCAACAAGGTGTAGCTGGGAAAAGGCGAAAAGCGTTCTGGGGGGCGTTAAAGGGAGCGTCGTACGTCAGCCCCAGCAGATCTGCAGCGTTCGCAGGTCCCCCCTGGCTCCAGACTCCTCGGGCCGGGTGTGAACAGTTCCTCCCAGGCCAGGGGCTCGAACCCTTGGCTTGTTCCTGGTGCTCTGCTCTGGCCTGTCCCGCACTGACCCCCTGCAGTGCGGTGCTGGGACCAGACCCAGCGCCGAGCAGAATGGGACCACGCCTGGTGGGGCTGACGTACGACGCTCCCTTTAACACCCCCCAGAACGCTTTTCGCCTTTTCCCAGCTACACCTTGTTGGCTCACTCGGTGCGTGGTTCACCCTGAGCCCCGGCTCCTCTCCGGCCGTGCTCCCACCTGGCCACTTCTCCCCGGGTGCAGCTGCGCACTAGAGTTTTCCTTCCCCAGGGAAGTACTTTGCACTTGTCTTCATTGAATTTCATCACGTGGAAGGTTATTGTGAATTCAAATCCTGCCCTCCAACGTGCTTGCAGCCCCACCCAGCCTGGTGTCAGTGGCCGATTTTCTAAGCATCCTCTGCACCATCATCCACGTCATGAATGAAAACACGGAGGAGCAGCAGCCCCAGGCCCGAGCCCCGTGGGACCCTGCTAGAGACGGCCTCCGACTTTCACAGCAGCCCTTGCAGCGTCCGGTCCGTCAGCCCCCTGCACAGCCCCA